GCCCAGTGACCTGGTGGGCATGCAGGCCACCAGCTATTCCTATGCCGTACCCACCCTGAGACCTTGTGGGACAAAGGCCTCGGACGTCGTCTTCCCCCCACCACCCGGGACCCCACTGACCATAGAGGACACTAGCGGTTCCTGGGTGGAGGTGGAGATGGGGAGCCCAGGTGTGGCCCAGGACACCAAAGGGAGGGGGAGGATTGAGCAGTCAAGAACCTGTCTTGGGCTGGGCACGGTGGCTCACTCCTTTAATCCCAGCACTTTGGGAGGCTGAGGTGGGCAGATTACCTGAGGTCAGGAGTTCAAGACCAGCCTGGCCAACATAGTGAAACCCTGTCTCTACTAAAAATACAAAAATTAGTTGGGCATGGTGGCAGGCACCTGTAGTCCCACCTACTCGGGATGCTGAGGCAGGGAAAATTGCTTGAACTCGGGAAGTGGAGGTTGCAGTGAGCTGAGATCACAGCACTGCACTCCAGCCTGGGTGACAGAGTGGGACTCTTTCTCAAAATAATAATAATAATAATAATAATAAGAAGAAGAAGAAGAAGAAGAAGAATCTGTCTTGGGGAGGTAGGGAGGCAGTGGCAGGTGGGAGCACACATGAGCTAGGGTCCAAACACTCATATATGTGCCACTGTCCAAGACCTCTCATATACCCCACAAATTCAAAGATAAATTAAGAATTTCAGCCAGGTGCAGTGGCTCACGCCTGTAATCCCAGCACTTTGGGAGGCTGAGGCGGGTGGATCATGAGGTCAGGAGTTCGAGACCAGCTTGGTCAATATGGTGAAACCCCATCTCTACTAAAAATAAAAAAATTAGACAGGCATGGTGGCACACACCTGTAGTTCCAGCTACTCGGGAGACTGAGGCAGAAGAATAGCTTCAACCCAGGAGGTGGAGGTTGCAGTGAGCTGAGATCATACCATTGCACTCCAGCCTGGGCCACAGACCAACACACCATTTAAAAAAAAAAAAAAAAATCACCAGGCTGGGCAACATTGGGAGACCGCCATCTCCACAAAATTTTTTTTAAAAATTAGCTTTGCATAGTGGCTTGTGGCTATAGTCCTAGCTACTCAGGAGGCTGAGGCGGGAGGATCCCTGGAGCCCAGGAGTTTGAAGCTGCAGTGAGCTATGATCCCACTACTATATTCCAGCCTGGGTAACAGAGTGAGATTCAGTTTCTAAACAAAAAACAAAGCAACAAAGACTGCAACCGCAGAACACTGAGCCCCAAGTGAGTGCAGGGCCGCGTGCTTCTGAGGGGCTGCATGCCTAGGAAGCCGCCCTGCCCCGACATTGGCAGCAGGAAATGTGATCCATTCCTGGATGGAGGTTGGGTAGTTCCCCAGCGCAGGCAGGATTAACGCGAATGACTATTGATTTTCTCGGGAGGGTGGCACCGTCAGCTAATTAGGAATGCTGTCTACTTTGGCTTATTGTGTGTTCAAGGATAAAACGACCAAACAAAATAGTCTGGATGATTTTGAGAGCTTAGCTGCATTTCATTCCTCTTACCTCTGAGTTTTAACGTAAGTCAGGGACCTCCTCATACAAGATTTATACTGCTCACCGTTCCTCTCAATTTTTTCCTCCGATTTGTCTATCCATTTTCCCCAGAGGACAGTGAATCGGGGCTCTGACAGCCTGCTTCACCTAAGAGCGCCAATCAATCCTCCCACAGGGTTTCCACTCAGCTTTGGCTGCTAAGTACATTTACGCGACCGAGCCGACGGGCTGTGCCTGCAGGCAACGGCGTCCGCCAATTTCCGTTCATTTAACGGCGAGACTAGGGGGAGCCCGCGCCGGCAGGCGTGTCCTCAGGAAGCGCAAATCTCACCTTCCCCTACTCCTCTCACCGCTAGATTAAAACTGCGCCCCTCGGTGGCTCAAGCCTGTAATCCCAGCACTTTGGGAAGCAGAGGTGGGTGGATCACCTGAAGTCACGAGTTTGAGACCAGCCTGGCCAACATGGTGAAACCCCGTCTCTACTAAAAATACAAAAATTAGCTGGGCGTGGTGGCACGCGCCAGTAATCCCAGCTACTCGGGAGGCTGAGGCGGGAGAATGGCTTGAACCTGGGAGGCGGAGGTTGCAGTGAGCCGAGATCGAGCCATTGCACTCTAGCCTGGGCAACAAGAGCCTCCGCCTCAAACAACCAACAAAACCAAACCAAAATAAAACAAAACAAAACCCTGCGCCCCTCCTCATGGCTCTTCTTTTGGCATAGCACCTGCAAAATATATTCCTTATTTATTTTTTTTGGGCCCATTAGAACGTAAGCTCCAGGCAGGCACAGCGGCAGGACTCAGGGGTCGGTGAGCGTGACGGGAGTGCAAAGTCAGTGGGGGATCCATCTCGTCTTAGGAGAGCAAAGACCTTCTCTCTATCTTCCCTGGTTCCATAGCTGGCTCTATGAAATTAACTGCCAAAGGGCAGTTGAACGGGGGAACGGGAATACACATTTATTAATCTTTAATATCACCTGCACGGGGGCATTGCAGGAAAATAGGTGAAAACCCCCCAAACCAGTGAATAGGGGAACTGGAAGCTGGTGTAGGCCACTTAGGGGAGAGTAACCGATTTTTAGGAAAAATGAATAAGTCTTTATGAGTTTGTGACAAAGTTTGTCTAGGTGTGGTGTGGACTTCGGCTGCGATAAGAGTCCGTCCTCCCGGGAGGGAATTTATGACAGTTTCTTTTGGAGGCTCCGTCTTTAGACAGGTAAGGGGAGAAGGTCTCTCTGCATTTGCTGTTTTCAAAGTGCCTCTCGCTCAAAATAATCAAGATACCAAAGCGGCATATTTTAGGATGGCATATTTTGGTTTCCTTCACTGTCTTAAGTTTTTGATATTTTGTTCATTATAAACTTTTCTTTGCATTCATTTTGACTTTTTAAGATATTGTATTAAAACATTATTTACCCTGATTACTGAGCGAGTGCCTCGCTCGCTTGCCTCCTTCTAGCCCGGGCCTGGCAGGGAGTTGCAACTGTTTTTCTCACTGCTGAATTCCCAGGGCCTACAACAGTGCTCGCCAAAAAATTAATACTCTTGGTTCTCCAAACAAAACATTCTGTAAGGACTGCTCCCAAATTCTTCCTGAACTTCACGAATCCTCCCGGCCAGGACACAGGATGTCAGGGGCAAACACCCTGAACCAACGGAGCTCAGGTTCCCTACTGCCCCGCCCAAGTCCGCTCCAAGCCCAATTACCCTTCCCCTTCCTCGTCGTCCCATCCTCCCCATGCCCCTTCCAGGGGGCTGGGTCGCGGCAAGAGCTCCAAGGCAGGATTCAAACGCCCTGGGGTGACGGCTGCGGGACACTTGCGGCGGGGCCGGGCAGGGAGCGCGAGACTGGAAGAGAGCCCAGGAGGGGAGGAGAGCAACGCTGGGTTTCTGGGGAGGGGTGGCGTGGGGCGCTGAAGGGGAGCG